AATAATAATTAGTCATATTAAATATTATTCTATATTAATGTTTATATAAATTGTTAATGTTATCTATCAGTGTTAAATTACATTATACAGTAATATAATTAGTTAGAGAATTTCCTTACTTTTTACAGTATTTCATGTTTTAAAAGCCTCAATTCTTTATTTATTTATTTATGTTATTGCATTTTTTATTTTTTTTTATTTTTTATAATTATGGACCCTTAGAAGGTTTTAGTTGAGCTATGTTGCAAGTTTCACTTGTCCATATCTTTCCTGTTCCGTCGCCAACAAGTGAACGAGCCCTGAAACCTTTAAATTAGCCTTTTAATAATAGTTAGTTGATTTATGCACTTATTAGCAGTGTGTCCAAATCTGTCTTGAGTGAGCGTTTAAGGCATGTTCCTATATATGCTGTCGGCTCTCAGGTGTTTCTGCACGAGCGGTGAAAGACTGAAACTGGCGCCGCCTTGTTTTTCCTGTCTCCTGTTGCACAAGACGGCATATTTCGGTCTTTACAACTTGGCCTGTAGATATTTTCAGCAGATACCTGTAAAAGAAACCCTTTCTGCTGTGGTGGGGGTGACACTTTATGAACAGCTGGGGGAAGGAATCAATTCATGCATTGCAATTCTGACTCGATCTACAAAATTCAAGTTATTTAGTGAAATCATACGCAGTGAACTGACTGAAGTGGTTTGAGCAGATGCCGATCCTGTGTCTTTATTTCATTATTTTTACGAGCTTGTCTCCACGCTCTCGTCCTGATGAGTAAGACTCCGTGAGTCAGGAAAGACTCTGTTTAGGAAGTGATACGGCAGTGACTCTGTAAATCTGCTCAGAATGCATCTGTGTCGGGGAATGTTTCGAACGCGCTCGTTGCTACCGGGATCGACCGCCGTTTCCCGGAGCATCAAGCGCGGTCTGCTGCGTTGACCTCGAAGGGGTTTCTTGTCTCATTTGGTGTGTGGTTTGGGTTCTGCTTATTAAAAAAACATCCGCACCAGATGTACGTGCCTGTTTCTGGCCTGATCGGTGTTTTTGAAGTCTTTTCTATGATGTAAAGACTGCTTTAATGAACACATGACATAAGGAAAGCTTAGAAACATCCCCTTTATCTCATTCTCAGAAAAATGATCCCTGCTTTTGACAATGCTAAAGGCTGATTATTTTTCTGTGCAGTATTTTCTGGTATTTTGTTTTGTTTTTATGTAAAAACATCACCTTGTGTGGCCTTTTTTGATCAAAGCAGACTTTTTTCTGCAGAGTAACATGCATTGATGAATCTCACTATAAGACCAGCAAAGAATAATAATAATAATAAATAAACAATTATACTATTTATTATTATTATTATTATTAATATCATTTTTTAAATAAAATTATTACAACTTTAAGGAATATCACACATTTTTTCTTCCACATTTTAATTTTTATCAGTAAACCTCTGTTGTGCAGCTTTTTGTTTACGAAAAAAAAAAAATTTTATTCATATTTTTAATAGAGTAATACAATTATTGTTTTATGGCTTAATTTAATAAATTTGTATTAAATCTTAAAGCCAGAAAAAAACACATCATATACTCCAATTATTGTAAAAAATCGAATTAAATGATAAAATTCTTAAAGTTTTATGAATTAAATTTATTAGACATGCTTTTTGTTTCTTACAATTGAAATAAAACAACAACAACAACATGCTTTAATTTGTGCAGAAATAAGACACATGTATTTATTTATAAAAGCAATACAAACAGATACACGGTGATTATACACAAAAGTGGCATTACTGTAGACATAAAAGCATATATAGATAAATAAAACTGATTTATTAGGGCGTGATTGAAAGTCAGTTTTGATGTTTTTTTGTGGTTAAAGGTTTGATGTAACTCTTTCGCAGGTGCTGGGCCGCTGCTTCCTGACGGTGATGCAGGTGCATTTCCAGTTCCTGTCACAGGCATTGCAGAAAGTCCAGCCGGTGGCGCAGTCCTGTCTGGCCGAGGCGCTAGCGCAGGTTCAAGAGAGACACGGAAATGCCCACACGCAGAACACGAGCCCCGGGCCCCTGACGGAGCTGGAGGAGGCCGTCCGCTCATGGAAAGGAGCGTCAGAGGTACAAACACCACCAATCAATGCACGACCAACCATTATTTGTGCGATTCACCCATTTATTGTCTTAATAAAAAATAATAAAAAAATGTAGTTTTTTGTAGTTCACCCATTAATTGTCAAAATATTACTTTGTGATGTCCAGTCTGTCATCCTGTTCAGTTTAGACTGCATACTACCTCAAATACTTGCCTAAATATTTCAGATAAAATAAACACTGATGCATTTGAATTAACCAGCCCTGACATAATGATTTTAAAATGTATGAATTATTTACATTACATTTTATTATATATCTATATATATACACTACCGTTCAAAAGTTTGGGATTAGAACGATTTTTAATGTTTTTTAAAGGAGTTTCTCCTGCTCATCAAGGCTGCATTTATTTGATCAAAAATACAGGAAAAAAATGTATATTGTGAAATATTATGATGTAAAATAACATTTTTCTATTTTAGTATACATTAAAATCTAATTTATTTCTGTGATGCGCAGCTGTATTTTCAGCATCATTACTCCAGTCTTCAGTGTCACATGATCTTCAGAAATCATTCTAATATGCTGATTTATTATCAGTGCTGGAAACTGTTGTGTGGCTTAATATTTTTTTTAGAACCTGTGATACTTTTTTTCAGGATTCTTTGATGAATAAAAAGTTAAAAAGAAGAGCATTTATTTAAAATAGAAATCTTTTCTAACAATATACACTA